GGTGCAGGCAATTTCTTTAATAAATCGTCATGCAACTGCCTAGCCTTTTCACAAATGATCGCTTGAGAGATGCTATCTCCTGCTATCTGTTTTTCATTTATCCACACCAATAACAGTCTCTCAACATTTTCTAACACTTGCAGTAGCTGTTTCGTAATCACAGTTGCACCTTTTGCAAGAACAGCTTCCTTGATTGCCATTTTCCTGGTCACTATAGTAGAGATGGTTGATTGGGGTTTATTATACAACCTGACCAGCTCCGACACACGCACTCCACTTTCGTACTTTGCAATTATCTTCTTTCTTCATTTCAACAGTCATTAGCACCTTTTTTCTTGAAGGGTTGGCACAAGAAGCTCTCTTGGGGCCCATGGTGACTTATTTTGCAGAAACAAGCACCAAAAACAGTGATAATGTGGAATGTACCGAATGTATTATTAGATGCGCGCACACTGGCTGGCTTGTAAACACTGGCACACATGGGGCAGTTTCAGGCCACACGTGGACACATCTCATACGAATCGCATCGAATACCGGGTCTTCTATCAGATACCAAGGCAAAATATTTGCGATATAATGCATCGAATACCGATGCCATCGAATACCGAGGGTCCACTGTATTCCATTCATTTTAGTGCTTGCAAGTGCTAAATAAGCTACCATGGCTCCAAGGAAAACTCCTAGTGCCAAGCCTTTGGTAAAGAAGGTGAGAATATGATTGAATTTAAGAAAAACATCATTGAACAATATGAAAGTGGCGTATGTGTGGCTGAACTGGCCAGGATGTATAACAAACCCCATACAACCATATCTTCCATCGAGGCAAAGAAAAAGGAAATCAAGGAAGCTGTTGTTGCTTTGAGAAAATTGTGGCCAGATTGTGTCCACAAGAGGGATTTTGAAGGGTTTGTGGATGACCCTGATGAGCCTATGTCAGCTGTGAAATCTATTGTGGCAATGGGGAGTTCTATGGGGTTGGATGCGAGTTTGGAGGATGTGGAAGAGTTGGTGGAGGACCACAATGAAGAGCTAACCACTGAGGAGCTGCAAGAGCTTCAGCAGGAACAGCAACAGATTGCAGCTCAGAATCTTGCTGCAGAGGAGGAGGAAGAGAGATGGAAGAAGGTGCCTTCTTCAGAAATTAAGGAAACTTTTGAAATGTGGGGTAGGATGGAAAGATTTATGGAGAAGCATCACCCTGAGAAAGATGTTGCAAGCCATATCGGCAACTTGTACAGTGACAGAGTCTTGGCCCATTTTAGGGAAGTTTTAAAGAGACGCCAGAAACAGAGCTCTCTGGACACTTTTTTTGCGAGACAGGACTCCAATAACTCTCAAGCTGGTCATAGTGGCATTAAGAAACAGAGAAGACTGTAACCCTAGAAAAGGACTTGGTACATGAGGTGTTGATGGAAAGGGATTCCCCTTCCAAACAGTAACTAATCCAATCTCTCTCCTCGTCCAGTCTTCCATACACTAATTAGCCCTTTGAGGGTCGACAGGCCCTCTCCGAAACTTGTTCTCAGGGTCGGCCAAATTTAAAAAAAAAAAAAAATTATTTTCTCTTATGAAAAGATAGAGAATCTTTTCCCGATCATAAAGACACCAAAAGTTTGAAATTTGATAGAAAACTTACGGAATTATGCTCTCGCAAAGTTAGCGGTCTTGGCGATGTTTACGCATCGGCGATTTTGCCCACTTTGAGCCCCATTTTCGGCCAATTTCACTGTACTAGTCGACAAAAAACATGAATATTTCGCTAGAACTCCATTTTTTCTATCGAATGGGTGCAAGAAACCACTCATTTATGAAATTCAACTATCCAGTACAGTGGTCAGAATTTAGGAATTTTGCCAATTTCACACAAATTTCAAAAGATGCCAATTTCCGAATAGGGTCCAGAATAAACAAGAAAGACATTCCTGGCACTAAAACGACACTTCCTCTAGTCATTAGTCACGTCTCAAGGCCCCTCTTATATTCTTTTGCTTTCCACTTTGAATTTTTATTTTCACAAAAAATATAAGATTTACTGTTATGCAGACTACTGCATTAGTGTAAAAAATGGTATAAAATATTATTGGTGCACTTGTGAAAGAATATTAGACTCACCAGTTGACGTGTATTGCACGCTTGGCACGATTTGTTTACTTTTGAAGTTTGGTAAAAATCGAACATTTCTGCTACTTTGAGCTCAATTTCAAGGCACCTTTCTTTGTAAAACCAGTCAAAATCATCTCAATTTCTGTAATATGTCTTCCATTCTATAAAATGAGACCAAGAAAACTAGAATACAACAATAAATACCATACGAAAATACACTGCAAAGTCGCTGATTTATTAAAAAAAAATGGTCAAAGTTTTTTTTTTCTCATTATGCACTGTTTGCTGCAGGATTTTTTTTAGACTGTGCACACTGACCACATAGACCCATTCTTTCATATGAAGGCCTACCAGCTTTCTCCCACTAGATTTGAGGCCGCTAGAATTTATGAGTACTAGTACGTCAAAAACCCCTAGGCGTAAGTTGTACTAGTACGACGAAAACCCTCAAAGGGTTAGAATCGCCAATAAAGGTAAGTGCTATGCTGTTAATGTTTCATTCATCATGTCCCATTGTATTGTTTATGTACTACATCTAAATTTCATGAAAAAAAAATTTTTGTTTTAACACTTCTGGGTGTCAGGAATGGATTAATTGTATTTACATTATTTCTTATGAGGAAAATTGATTCGAAAATCGTCTATTTCGATAATCGTCACACTTCCAGGAACGGATTAACGACAATGAACGAGGGACCATTGTACTATTGTTGCCTGAAGTGCTCTGCTTATATAGGGACTTTTGACATTGTAGAAACATTGTAGTATGCCGAGATAAAACCATTCCCATTAATAAATTATACTAATTGTAATACTGTTATTTGTTTTTGCTACCTCATTATTATAAATCTTATAATTAAAAATTTTTTGATTACAGTGGACCCCCAAGTTTCGTGATTAAACCATCCCAGAGAGCCTGCCGAAAGTCAAAATTGCCAAATGGCGAAACGATTTTCCCCATAAGAAATAACGGAAATAAAATTAATCCATTCCGGACACCCAAAAATATTAAAATAATTTTTTTTTTTTCAAATTAAATAAAGATTTACATACTGAAAACAATGAGAAATCAAGTACATGCATATAAAAAATAATAATAACATTACACTTACCTTTACTGAAGACTTCTGGGTAGATGGAAGACGGGAGGAGGGGATAGGAGGAAGGTGTATACTATTGTTTGGAAGGAGAATCTCCTTCCATTAGGACTTCAGGTATGAAGTCCTTATCTGGGGTTACTTCCCTTCTTTGTTTTTTAAAGACACTTGCACTGGGAACAACTTAAGAGTCACTGGAACCCTGTCACACAAAACATCTGTCCAGAGAGCTCTGTTTCTGGCATGTCTTTAAGATTTGTCTGAAGTGGGACACAACACTGTCATTGTACATGTTGCCAATATGGCCTGCAACAGCTTTGTTAGGGTGAAGCTCACCCATAAATGTTTGCACTTCAGTCCACTTTGCACAAATATCCTTAATCTGTTTTTTGTAATCCACACCAACAATAACCTCTCCACTTCTTCGAGGATTTGTGATCTCCTTTTTCTCAGCATATCTACCCCTTTTGCAACAACAGCACACTTAATTTCCTTTCGTTTCTCCACGATCGAAGTGATGGTTGAATGGGGTTTGCCATACATCCTGGCAAGCTCTGTAACACGCACTCCACTCTCATATTTTTGTGATGAATGGTTTGAAAAACCGACAAGTTGAAGATTGAGACACTTATGCAGCATATGGGAATCTTTATTCAGGAAACGCTTTGCCACACAGTGGCTTCATCAGTCCAATACAAAGAGGAAAGCGTAAGGAGAGGAGGAGTATGAGGTAATCTGTCCCTCAGCCTGGAGTCGATGTGTTCAGTCCATTCAGACATTCTACAAGATTGATGGACTGAACACATCGACTCCAGGCTGAGGGACTGATTACCTCATACTCCTCCTCTCCTTACGCCTTCCTCTTTGTATTGGACTGATGAAGCCACTATGTGGCGAAGTGTTTCCTGAATAAAGATTCCCATATGCTGCATAAGTGTCTCATATTTTTCATTGATTTCCTTCTTGAATTCGATCGTGTTCCTCACTTTCTTTACCAAAGGGCTTGCACTAGCTTTTCTTGGGCCCATGGTGACTTATTTAGCAGTTGCAATCACAAAAGACAATGGATTATTACGTATGAACCCGCGGGGTGATGGTCACGTGTTGGTAAATAATGGCACACTGAGCGTGAATGGCGTGGGAGACTGGCTTTGTGTGCGCGGTGACGGGCAGATGGGTACAGGACGGTCGCTGAATCATGAGTCTAATCACGAACTGCGAGGCCAAATTTTGCCGAAAACTTGCCGAAAGTCAGATTTCATGAAAGTTGATGTCGACGAAACTCGAGGGTCCACTGTACTTAACTTGTAATAATGTGAAACAATGACTATTAAAATGTAGCGCTCCATAACCTGTGTCAATATAGAGTAGTCAGTAAGAATTAAGAATAGTCTGCCCGGAATGCCAAGGCATGCTAGTGGCTGTCTTTGTACTTAATATTTTGTAACACGAAAATCACACATTGTAAACTTTGCAAAGAAATAAAAATTTTGATTTTGATTTTTGATTAATTACTAATGGTCTCCATGGGGATGTGGAATTCTTCTTCCACAAGCCATGTGTGTCATAAGAGGCGACTAAAATGCTGGGAGCAAGGTGCTAGTAACCCCTTCTCCTGTATACATTATTACTGAATTTAAAGAGAAACTTCATTTTTCTTTTTAGGTCACCCTGCCTCAATGGGATATGGCTGGTTTGCTGAAAAAAAACTGTTAATGGAAAATATACAAAAATAGTGAGCTCCTGTATTTATTTAAAAAGGCTGAGTAATAAGTACACAAATTTATAAAGAGATATTACCAATCTGGTGAGGAGAGTAGGTTTTGGAGCCAGTTGTGAAAATGAGGAACTTGTCACAGTCTTCAGCCAGAGACATGGGTGGTACAGGTTCATTATCTTGCTCCCATTCAAAAAGTTGCTCCTCCTCACATCCTCCAACTGGAATTCCACCCTGCTCCATTTCATTCTTAAAAATAAAAGTAAAGAAGAATCTAAGAGATGCAAGTTACAATAAGTAATCACTACAATATATTAGAAAAATTATTGCTTTATTAACTTAAATTGCATACCTTATTTAATGAGATGCTTTGCAGCAAGTTCTCTATTGATTAAATAAATAGAAAGCAAGAAACAGCAATAACTAAACATCATTACTCCACATTCGGTTGAGTTTCCTTCTGATGGTTCAACTTCAGCACGTCTATAGTCCTTGGTGTATGTGATGGGACTTGTGTAGACTGTCTTCTTATATAAAGGAGGTTCAACAATCTGGTGCTCAGTGACAGAAGGCCGATGTGCACTTAATTCACGATGGGATGGTGGATTACCTCTTTCTACAACCTGCTGGGCAGAATTAGTCATTATGATTCATGCTACACTAAAACTACATTCTGTAATGCTGTCATATTACTTAAACATTGAGTACATCACCATTTATCCATAGTCATTCACCAGTAAATATTTTACTATACAAGATTAATAAAATACCTGCTAAATGTGACTCAGCTTAAAAATTAATACTAATGGTAACTGACATGCTTCCATAATTATTTTTTTTTTAACACGTCGGCTGTTTCCCACCGAGGCAGGGTGGCTCAAAAAGAAAGAAAAGCTTAAATATATAGAAAAAACTTTCATCATCATTTAACACTTTCACTATCACGCATACATAATCATTATCTTTACAGAGGCACTCAGATATGACAGTTTAGACGTCCCTCCAAACTGCCAATATCCTAAACCCTTCCTTTTAAGTGCAGGCACTGTACTTCTCCACTGCCTCCAGCTGCCTCCTCGCTGCAGCATTTACAACCCATGCCTCACACCCATATAAGAGTGTTGGTACCACTATACTCTTGTACATTCCCTTCTTAGCCTCCATGGATAACATAATTTTATTTTCATAAATTTCATAAATTTAATCTGTATCACCAAAATCCTTGTTTCACAGTGAATTCATTATTATTTCTTAACACACAGGCCATCTCCAATCTAGGCAGGGTGAATGAAAATAAAAAAGGTAAATACATTCTGTTATTCATTCAATCACTTTTGCCAGAAGTGTGCTAACATCACAGTTCAGATGGCTCTCTGAATTGCAACATCCTCACCTTTCCTTTAAAGTGCAGGCACTGTACATTACTTCCAAATTCCAGGACTCAAGTCTGGCAAACTTGTTCCATGAATTCCTTCAAAAATGCTATTGGCTCACACTCCAACAGCAAGTCCAATCACAAAAACCAACTGTCCTTCCTCACTTCAAACTAACATGCTCACAAAAATGTGTTGGATGTTCAGGTCCCTGGCACCCAAAACCTCCTTTATCCCATCCTGTGATGACCCTAACCCCTCCTCCTTCCACTCCAGATTTATGTTCCATCTTATTCATCCTATTCTGTTACATCCACTCTAAATACTCAAACTACCTAAACAGACCCTCCTGAACTGAACTCTTGGTAACATCACATCATGTTCTCATCTTTACACTCTGAATTCTCTGCATAATATTCACACCACACATTGCCCTCAGACATGACATATCCACTGCCTCCAACATTTAAAGCCCCTACATCACACCCATAAAAACAGTACAAGTATCACTATACTTTGGTACCTCCTCCTCTTTTTGTCTCCCTGGATAAGTTCTTTGTCTCCACAGACACCTCAACACATATACCCCCTTTTTTTTTCCCTCACCTATTCTGTGGTTCAAAGCAGCTCACACTTTCTTTTATCCCCTTTTCCTCTTTATATAAAGGAGCTATGAATGCTCTCTGCCAGCCTAAGTACCCTCTCTTTTTTTTCATACATGTATTGAACAAATGCACACTTGCTTGGCCTGGCTGGCAAAGCTCTCGCTTCACACGCTGAGGGCCCGGGTTCGGTTCCTGGCAGAGGTAGAAACACTGGGAGTGTTTCCCTACATACACCTGTTGTCCTGTTCACCTAGCAAGTGAGTTAGTCAACTGGTATGGGTTGCATCCTGGGGGACATGATTGAGGACCCCAACGGAAATAAGACAGACAGTCTCTCAATGATGCACTGCCTTTCTTGGGTTATCCTGGGTGGCTAACCTCCAGGGTTAAAAATCCAAACAAAATCTTATCTCAACACTCCAAAACTTGCTTGTAACATAACATCTGTCCCAGCTGTTTTAATTCCTCCCCCACACTCAAATCTAGCTTCTCCCTACTCCTACAATATGTCATACCTCCTTGCCCAATGCATGAAATTACCACCTCCTTATTTTTCTATCAACATCTAAAAATTTAACCCTTTAACTGCCCCAATATAGATCTACGTTCTCTTACCCAGCGCTCCGAATATTTTGAAAAAAAAAAAAAAATAGTTTTTATTTTTTAATAAAGAGGACATTTTTTTATAATATAAAAATTTTTTTTTTAGAGTCAGTACTTATGGAGATATAAAGCCACAAGGTCGGTGCTTGTTGCTCACCTAGCGGCAATATGAAGGGCTGCCCCTTGCAGAAGTGTTGCCAGATATACCTTATTTTCTCACTTTTTTTTTCAACAAGTCACTCGTCTCCCACCAAGGCATGGCGATCGAAAAAGAAAAAAAATCCAAAAAAAGAAAATACTTTCATCATCATTCAACACTTTCACCTCACTCATAGACAATCACTGTCTTGTAGAGGCACACAGATACGACAATGTAGAAGTCCCTCCAAACTGTCACTATCCCAGACCCTGCTTTTAAAGTGTAGGCATTGTACTTCCCATTTCCAGGACTCAAGTCCAGCTGAATCTATAATAGCTGGTTTCCCTGAATCCCTTCACTAAATATTACCCTGCTCACACTCCAACAGCTCGTCAAGTCCCAAAATCATTTGTCTCCATTTACTCCTATTTAACACACTCACACACACTTGCAGGAAGCCCAAGCAACTCGCCTGCAAAACCTCCTTTACCCCCTCCCTCCAACCTTTTCAAGGATGACCCTTACCCATCATTCCTTCCTTCCTTCCCCTATAGATTTATACACTCTCCCAGTCATTCTACTTAGATCCATTTTCTCTAAATGACCAAACCACCTCAACAAACCCTTTTCAGCCCTCTGACTTATACTTTTATTAACTCCACACCTCCTCCTAATTTCCAAACTCCTAATTCTCTGCATAATATTTACATCACACATTACCCTTAGACAGGACATCTCCGCTGCCTCCAGCCGCCTCCTTGCTGCAGCATTTACAACCCAAGCTTCACGCCCATATAAGAGTGTTGGTACCACTATACTTGCATACATTCCCTTCTTTGCCTCCATAGATAATTTTTATTGTCTCCTCAGATACATCAATGCACCACTCACTGTTTTTACTTCATCAATTCTATGGTTAACCTCATCCCTCATAAACCCATCCACTGACAAGTCAACTCCCAAATATTTGAAAAAATTCACTTCTTCCATACTCACTCTCTCCAATGTGATATCCAGTTTTTCTTTATCTAAATCATTTCATACCCTCATCACCTTACTCTTATCTATGTTCACTTTCAACTTTCTACCTTTACACACACTCCCAAACTCGTCCACTAACCTTTGCAACTTTTCTTAAGAATCTCCCATAAGAACAGTATCATCAGCAAAAAGTAACTGTGTCAACTCCCATTTTGTACTTGATTCCCCATAATTTAATCCCACTCCTCTCCCCAACACCCTAGCATTTGCTTCTTTTACAACCCATCCATAAATACATTAAACAGCCATGGTGACATTACACATCCCTATCTAAGACCTACCTTTACCAGGAAGTAATCTCCCTCTCTTCTACACACCCTAACCTGAGCCTCACTATCCTCATAAAAACTCTTTACAGCATTTAGTAACTTACCACCTATTCCATATACTTGCAACATCTGCCACACTGCTCCCCTATCCACTCTATTATATGCTTTTTCTAAATCCATAAATGCAATGAAAACTTCCCTACCTTTATCTAAATACTGTTCACACATATATGCTTCAATGTAAACACTTGATCTACACATCTCGTACCCACTCTAAAACCTCCGTGCTCATCTGCAATCCTACTCTCTAACCACTAATTCTTTCAATAATAACCCTACCGTACACTTTACCAGGTATACTCAGTAAATTTATTCCCCTATAATTTTTACAATCTCTTTTGTCCCCCTTTCCTTTATAAAAAGGAACTATACACACTTTCTGCCAATCCCTAGGTACATTCCCTTCTTTCATACATTTATTAACCCTTTGATTGTCGCAGGCCCCTTTCTGAAACTGTCATTCTATGTCGCAGAAGTTTGGGGAAAAAAAAAAATATTTTTTTCTTATGAAATGATAAGAGATTCTTTTCCCGATGGTAATAACACCAAAAGTATGAAATTTGGTAGAAAACTCACGGAATTATGCTTCCGCGAAGTTAGCGGTCTCAGCGACATATACGCATCATCAATTTTGCCGACTTTGAGCCCTGTTTTTGGCCAATTCCGTTTTTCCAGTTGACCAAACTCACAGCTATTTCTTTAGAACTCCATTTTTTCTATCAGTTGAGTACAAGAAACTGCCCATTTACTGATTTTAACTACCCAATAAAGTGGTCAGAAATTGGCAATTTGGCCAATTTGACGCAAATTAACCCTTTGACTGTCGAAGGGCCCAATCCTGAAGTGTCTCCTGGTGTCGCAAAATATTCGAAAAAAAACAAAAAAAAAATTTTCTTATGAAAATGTTAAGATTATTTTTCTGATTGTTTTAGTCCCAAAAATTTTTTTTTTCCCATCAGTACTTACCGAGATATAGAGGCATGAAGTTTGCAGAAAATGAGCCGCGTATGGCAACAGCGGCGACTGCCGCTCACCCGTACACTTCAGCTTACTTGTATTTGAAGGTTTGTTGTTTTTTTCACTATTTTATTTTTTCACATAACTTATGTGGCCTGTGAGACCAAAGTAAGGTGCAATGTACATATATACACTCGTTGTATACAACACAATAAGCACACAAACATAATTATCAATATATTGTTTACAAAACTTGTTTACAAAAACAAACAACACAAAAAATTGTTTATTACTATTGTTCTATAATATATATACCAATATACAGTCACTGAACATACTCCTAGAAGTTCTGCAGCTTGTGGAACTCTTTGAAACATGGTGTCATACACAGTGGTGTTTTACACTCTCACACATAAAACATGGTGTCATACACAGTGGTGTTTTACACTCCTCACACATAAAACATGGTGTCATACACAGTGGTGTTTTACACTCCTCACACATAAAATCAGTGTGTGTGCATTTTTGTGGAAGTTTTTTTTTTTATGTGCAAAGACAAAACACCTCGTCTGAGCAGTT